TTTCTTTTCACTCTTAACACAATAAGGCTGTGTCATTCAAACGTCAATGACCACAACAATTTAGGCTAGGCCTGTAAAGGGTTAAGAAAACGAAAATCTGAAAATAAAATATATCAAGTTCATGTTTTCCTATTTATTTTAAGATGATTATTTATTTGGATCGGATTCCGAAGATATATCAGCCTATAGTGCTCAGAGCAATAACGAATAAGCTAAAATTACATTAGTTACTAGGGAGATCTGATCCTCAGTAAACTATTATGGGTGACATGTTAGATAGTACACGGCTGGGGCACATGGCAATGAGCTATCTGAGTGGGATTGCCTATATCCTACAACGATCCTCGCTCATGACTTAAAATAATAAAAACTCCATGCAAAAACCAAGAGCCGTGCAACCATCTAGGCGATCATATGGGATGGGAAGGGGGGGAGGGTGGAACGGCGCACCTGCTATGCCATGCGTGCACCTGGCATCGATCGTCACCGTCCTAGATCGATCGCTGGCTTCTCATGCCTCCACCCCTACAACACAACAGATTACGCTAGTCTGTTCCGAGAACGGAAGACGAGAACTTCCCTCCGTGCGTCGGCAGAGAATGTCCCTGTTCAAGGCACGGGACTGGTTCCAGGCCACCGCGGAGGGCACGTGCGACGTCGGGAGCCTGTGCATCGCCGACTTCGACGGGAGCAGCGCCCTGGTGGTGGCCACGTTCGAGGGGCTTCTCTCCGTCTACCGGCCGGCCTATCCACACAGGGATGAGAACGAAAGCCTCCTCCTCCAGACCCAACTAGACTCCCCCGTGCTTCAAGTCGGCTGGGGGAATTTTGTGTCCGGCGTGAAAACAGGACAGCTGGCCACCCTCCACCCGCGAGGCTTCGCCGTCCATACCTTCACCGCCACCGAGGGGAACGTGGAGCACGGGGCTCAGGCCAGCCTCCGCCTGACCTACCAACACGTCCTTCAACGCAGTGCCTTCAACTTCGTGCACGGTCCATTCGGAAGAGTCAAGAAACGTGACTTTTTTTGCGTTCAATCCCTGGACGGTGTCCTGTCCGTATTCGAGCAGGAAACTTTCGCCTTCTGTTGTTTTCTACCCGATGCATATTTACCCGGACCTTTGGCATATGTTCCCGACACTGACTCTATCGTCACGGTATCATCCTCCTTGACCTTGCAGAGTTTCCCCTACAAAAGCTTGGCGTCCGCAGCGTCTGATCCCCAGAAGACGAGGGAAGAGGCCTTAGAGAAAGGGAAGCGCGTACAACCAGAGTGGAGCTTCGTCCTCGGTGAACTCGCTATAGATATCCAGCACGTGAAGGGAACCCACGACTCCAACTTGGTCGTTCTGGGTGAACGGACTTTGTTCTGTATCAAGGTCACCGGCGGGAAGCGCTTCATGAAAGCCCTGGACTTCACCCCCACGTCCATGTACGCCTACATCAGTGATATGGAGGACTGGGTGATGGTGGCGGTGGGAACCAGTTCGAGTTCCGTCCTCTTCTTCAAGGAGAACAACCTTGAATGGGCATCTCAGTTAACTTTTCCTCCGGTGGCCCTGAATCGAGCCGATTTCGAGGGCATCAAAGGTTCTCTCGTAGCACTGTCTGAAACGAGTACGTTGATTTCATGCTACCTGGGCACCCAACCGTCCTTGTACGCAGCTCCCACTTTCAAGACCAGAGAGATCAACTACCTAGAAGCAGATAAGGAGCTGGCACAGCTGAATCGCCGGATTCGAGATGGATCCGAACACAGGAAGCAAGAGTCGGTGCTGGCAGCCGAAAAGGAACTGACTGTGTCGGTCAAAGTGAGCCATCAGACTCAAGAATGTCGTCTGGAATCGCAGGTCAACAATGCAAAGGCAGTCACGGCCATCATCACTCTGAAGGCAAGCGCACCTCTGAATCTGGTCCAGGTCCAGGTATTAGTCGATAGACCCTTGGCAGCTCAGCCATCTCTCGTCACCGTTCAAAGCCTCTGTCCGACTCGAGACATCGAAGTCCTCTTCTATCAGAAAGAGAATCATATTCCGAGCAGTCTCGAAGGTCGGGTGGTGGTGACCTACACAGGAACCAGTGATGCACCCCGAGCGATCCAGAGCACCTTCAAACTGCCGCTCAAGCTGGTCATGAACCTAAGCGACCCAGCCAAAGACGCCGACTTCAAGGTAACATTGAACACGAACAAGCCAGCGATGGCACTCCCCGACCTCTTCCCCGACTTCTCCCTCGACAAATCCATGACCAATTCCGCTGGATTCCAGTACTTCTACGGTCCCAACGTGACCATCTTGTCAGCGACCACATCCCAGAGATACCGCCTTCAGTCCGACTTCCTCCCAGCGCTCTGGCTGGTCCTGGAGGCACTAATCGCTCGCCTGCAGAAGCGCCTCGGCACGACCGACCTCACCATCAGCTCCTCCGGCACCCTCCCCCTCCAGGAGATCTTCATCGAGATAGACGCCCATTTCGACGCCCGCAGGCGCCTGGATGAACAGACAGAGCGGCTGCGGGACCGGACGGCTCAGTTCCGCGCTGTCCAGAAGAGACTCCTAGTGAAGTTCAAAGACCGCACTCCGACTCCCCTGTCGAATCTGGATGTCGTGCTCGATGGGACTCACCAGCAGATCCTCATGCTCACCAACACCATCGAAGCACAACAGGACCTGGTGCAACGATGCGGTGCACAGCTCAAAGCATGCCTTCACCTCTTGATCACTCTGACCAAGCTCAGCGTAGGTCTCACGGATGAAGAATCCCATTTTTTGGAGTGTGCTTTGGACACTCACGTTTTCACCGGGTGCCAGGAAGGGTGGGAGGAACTCACAGACGCAGCCCTAACCTACATCAATCGCACCTACTTCGGACGAGAATCAAATTCCTCGGCCAACGTCCAGATAACCCAGCTCAAGGACACGGCGAAGATGAAGAAGCACATGTCCACCACGGTGGACAAGGTGGTGAAAGGCGGCCTGGCAAACGTGAAGCTCGACTCGGCCGTGAAGCAACCCGCCGCCCGGGACTCCCGACCCAAGAGTGCAATCAAAATCGAGGACAAGACCCTCGAGGCCGGGGAGCTCCCGATTGGATCCAAGCTCGCAGGCAGGAAGCGCTCGGCTAGGCTCCCCACGCCCTCGTTGAAACACACCAAAAGCGAAGAGGAAGAACCGCAGGCGACGCCTTCGAGCGAACCGCCCAAGAAAGACGAGGGAGAAATGAAGAAAGAAAAAACCTCTCAGGAAGCATCAGGCGACATCGAGGGACCGATGGAACCCTTGAATCCCGAAAACGTGGACGAGGAGGAAGACAATACCTGGTAGTAGGACCCAACTGTGATTTCCTCAACAAGGAACACTGTGACAGAACCGGCAAGAGTATTCTCGAGTGCCTGGCCTTCGTATTTTTTTTTAAAGCACTGTTTGTCGTGAAACATAGAATAAAATATCTCTGCTCAAATCGATCCCGTGCCTCCTGCGGTTCACTGTTCATATTGAAAGCAATGATCATTTCTTTCCCATCACGTAAACTGTTTTTAAGACAGAACAGACACTCTGCCGCATTTTATGCCATCTTCGTTTTCCCTCGTATTGACATTCGACGTGCACTGTGCACCAATGGCCCAAAAATGTCATTTTTTTCTTTTCTCTCGATGGAAGCTCCTATACAATTTTTCCTGTCTCTTTCCAACGTCGTCAGCCTTGTCCAAAAAAAAAAAACATCCCCACAATGAATGCTATGCTCATATTCCTTATCAAATACTCCTCCATTTGATATATAACTGCCATTGTTGCGTAACGCTACGAAAATCAGTGTGAATTCATTTCGTGCACACTCGTGTGCACGAAATAAATGTATTCCATAGCGCATTGACCCTTTAAGCGCCAAATTTTTTTGTAAATTGCTGAAATTTATTATGCCTATTTTAGGAGCCTCCTTTTAGGAACCTACTCATGGAGTAGAGATAGACATTTGCTTTAATGGAAAAAGTTATTAGGCATGATTTATGGTTTTTTGTGAAAATAATTTAAAAACCTAATTTGCATATATCACGTCATCAAATGGTGGATTTCTTGAAAAAATCTTCAAAATGCCTAATTCGCTCGCACTGGCCTCACTGATTTTGAATAAAAGCACACTAGAAATCTCTCTTACGCACTTTGAGATAATAATTCATCTAAATATTAGATATTTCTAATTAAACAACATACAAGGAGATATTTATGGTTGACCAATAATTATCTACCACTAGCACCAGCGCAGTCCGGCATCCAGTGAACATCAGCTAATCAAACTAGTCTTCCATGTCCAGATGGCACAATTTGAAGTCCTTCCTTGAAAGCACGACTCTTTGCGCCATCTATTTGTGATGGTTGGAACTGACCGACAATCTTCCTGACGAAATTTGAAGGGGTATCTCAAGTCGCCAAACTGCGACGGTGGCGCTTAAAGGGTTAGGAATATTTAAAGACTTTGCAGTAATCCGAGCTCAGGAAACATAAGCGGTCGATTGGTCAGGTTGGATGGTTTGTACTAAGCTGCCTGCCCGAATAGCCAGAAAAATAAAACGTTTATCTATTCTCTATTAGTAACTCTATTTTACTCACCTCTGCTCGAGAGATTATAAAGCTCCCATAGCTGCCAATGTCCACTCGATCCACTTTTGGACAGAAAACCTCAAATGTGACTCAAAGCCTGAGTACTAATGCAACTGAAAAATTTTTGTTTAAGGACTTGAATGAGACAGGCAACCTGCAAATGAGAACGGAAAGTCAGACATGTGCTGTGTAGCCATGGTTATGATGGTTTATTTTTTCCCCTATTTTGAAAGCAACAGGTTCAAGCACAATGAAATAGGATGCAATTGATATCTGACTTTAACCCATGCTGTTTATGCCTGATTGAAGCCAATGCAAGGATGCTTTCAAAGCAGCATCCATCAGATGAAAAAAATGCACTAAATGAATAGGCAAGAGTAATAACAGAGTTCATAATTTTATTCACTGACTTTTCTCTTGGGGTGAACAAACTCATCACATCACAGACATTCACAAAAGTGAAGGAGGGTGAAATTATCTTCGAAACTTCTTGAAGAGAGGGTGCTTGTGCTGTCCAGAGGACTTCCTAAACTCCATGTAGACATTGTCATCTGCTCCCGACATTGACGACATACTCGTTCCCTTTCGCCAAGTCTAAAATGAAATGTAAATGTATTTGAATAAATTTTCTTGCCAAGAGTTGTGATGGTCACTAAAGTTTCTTGAAAAATAAAAGAAAGCTCACAGAGGAAGGTCGAGAGGGATCACCGGGCATGCGTTCTTCATCTGCTTCTGAGTCGTTGGCTGCAAGAACCTGCTGCAGGAGCTGGCCCTGCTCTTCCTTTGTACCATACTGAAGCTCCTCCTGGGTGAGACCATGCCAGCACTTTCAAGTGTGAGGAATTCGTCAATATAAACAGCAAACATCAAAGAATGCTAAGCTCACCTTATCCATGCCTGGTAGCTGAGTCACAACCTTGTAGCTGTAGCCCTGGTTGATGAGGAATCGCTGTCTCTTTCGGGAATATGACATCTCCATTGTGTCTTGGGAAACGAGGGTGTAGAAAAAGGCATTGAACTCCTCTGCAATTGCTCCTGAAAAAAAAAGACTTCCAATGTGAAAATCTGCAAAGAACAAACAAAATTCCAGCCTAAATCACACCAAGTGCAATACCTTTCTTGGCACGAAGGATGCGGCCGAGACGCTGAGCTTCTTGTCGTCGGGATCCACCATGAGACGAGATCTGGATCAGGACGTTGGCTTCTGGGAGGTCAAATGATGTATCAGCTACTTTGCTCACAAAGATTGTGTTCACTTTTGGGTTGTACTTGAAGTTCTGCAGGATCTGCAGTCGCTCAGATTGAGATGTGGGGCCATAAATGTAGGGTCTACCCATGGCAATGGCATAGTGTTTCAGTGCAAACACATTGTCTGAGAAGACAATGACCTTGTCGTTCCGCCGCTCATGATAACGGATCAGAAATTGACAGACTCTGAACTTGTTGGGGTTCATCACATACAGCAGCTGCAGAAAAAAGGAAAGCAAATGCATTCAAAGGTTTTGTTTGATAAGCTCACCACCAATAATTGCATGAACAAAGGAGTGGCTTTTTTGGCAGATGCATTATTTTTTTGCTGCTTCTTCTGGACAAAGGGCCCAAGTAGAAGCAGGAATTATGTACAGATTACTGCTTAAAATCTTTTCAAAATTAAGCAATAAAGCATATATATATTTCAACAACTGCACAATTCTACACACATTCTAAAATCCCTCAGTAAACTAATTCATGGTGTTCCATAAATTAGTTTACAGAGAGATTTTCAGCTATTCTCACTTTAATTAATGTTTTGTGATATTGTTTTTGTTATTAATTGCCATTATTGCTAAAAGTTTGATTTTCATTCTAGATGAAGACAAAAGCTTAAAAATGTCTTCCTGACATTTAAATTAATAAGATGAAAACCCGTTGGTAAATTGACTCATGGAACACCCAGTACTATAAAAGCCTGGATATTTTAATGATGGTTGCAACATACATTAACCCTGAGTAATGATCAGAACTTTTCCCTGTTGCAAGAAAACTCACTTCACAGAGTCAATTTGCATTCAAGGTTAGACTCAGACCTGAATAAGCAATGGTTAACTTCTGTGATATACAACAGCTCAAAAACAGTTCCTATGAAATGCATATGACTGTGGTAGTCAGAGTTTCACTCTGGTCTCTTAGAGAATAATGAATATTTTCTGTATCCTACCAGCTTTTTAGCAGAGGAACAGTGGAGGTACTCTCGGTAGAACTCAGGGCTCATGGGACACCAGACTTCAGCACATTGGACTCGAGCAATGAATCCTGCCTGCTGGAGTTCCAGCCAGTTGGCTTCATAGAGTTTGGGGCCTATGAGGAAGTTAAGGTCAGCAATCTTGTCATCCTCTCGCACCAGTGTGGCTGTAAGACCCAGTTTGCAATGGGCCTGGACCAACGTCAGGACTCGACGAAACATCTTTGCTGGGATTGAATGCACCTCTGTACATAAGAGGAAAGAAAATGGGTTTTCATAAAAACATGTATTTATTTGTCAGATGTCACATATTATTTTTAGTTTCCCACTGATATGCATGAGGTGAATTTAAGAATATCTTGATTAATGGACCAGAGCAGGCATGCAAGAATGAGTCATAAACAAAAAGGTAATAAGTTTATATTTCTTATGAACAGACCATCAAGGACCATGACACCCCATTCCTGCTGCTGTAGCCATTCCATGGTTCTTTCAGCTTCCCAAGACCTCTTCTGTTGATGAGTGATCATGGAATATGTGGTGATGAGGATGGAAGACCCAATGGGCTTATCTTTTGCTTCTGATGTGAACCGGCAGATCACAGTGTCATCCGCTACAAATGTAACAGTATTTGCAAATGCCATGCTCTTTCCTTAATTTGACAACTGAAAAATGATGCATACCAGTGGACCACATCTTCAATTGTTGTTTCCACTGCTCCACAGACACTCCTGAATTGCACAAGATCAGGGCACGTTTCCTCAGAGTACAAACAGCAGTCACACCCACCAAACTCTTTCCAGCACCTTCATCAAGTTACAAATAAAATATAGTTCATATCTACTTCACAATAATGCACTACCTTTCAACATAAGAAAGCGAGCAAGAATTATTAGCTAAATTTAAAAAAGAAGAGGAAATTCTAGGAAAACTGTTTCCTGGTCAAATGTAACACCCTTGGTAGGGATCAAGGCAAGAGTGAGTTGCAATCCAGGCTATTGAGTCTAGCACATCTTTAAATTAACCCAGCTGTAGCATTTTTAATAACAGCCAATCACCTGGGCCCATAAATGTGCTAATGATGATCTTAGAAGACAAAATGCATCCTCACCGCATGGAAGGACAATGACACCAGATTTCGCTCTCCCATTACCAAACATCTTCCGCAGACTCTTCTCCTGATATGGACGAAGAATGGCTGAAGGCTTCAGGTCGATGCTGCAATCCAATTGTAGTTTAAAGTTTCTTAGCTTATCATCTTGAGTAATTTTTAAGCAGGGCAACCAAAAAAATGGCTCACTTTATATCTGGGTTATGAGTGTCATTCCGAAAGTCATATTCTGCCAAGAGAGGATAGTCCAGGTCAATGCATCGCTTCTGCAGTATCTCAATTTTCTCCTACAGAAAAAAAGCACTGATTTAAAAAATCTACTCTTTGTGAACAGTTGTTAGTTCAAAGTGCCTCAAACTTGCACTCAAGGCTCACCTGTTTAACTTCAAAAGATACTATCTGGTGCTTCTGCTCCTGCTCCTCTTCATCATCATCTTCCTTGTCTAGCTTGGCATAGAAACTACTGATATCATCTGGGACAGATGGTTTGGGATCACTTGTTTCTTCTTCTTTTCCAGTCCCATTTTCTCCAGGTTTCTTTTCCTTCTCTGGGTTTTTGGCACCAAACTGTTACAATGAATCATTGGAGACATGGCGTTGAATTGCAATTCAACACCATGTCTCCAAACATTTTTCCTACATTTGTTAGAAAATAATATCCTCCAAGAACCAACCTGGATACCCTTTGCTTTGGCTTCTTCCTCTGTAATTAAATCCTCATGTTCCTCATCAACCTTATGCCGCAAGCGACACTCTTGTATTACTGGGTCCTTCAATAATTTTTGCAGTACTTCAGGAAAATTGCTCTCCACAAAATATCGATTGTGTTTCAGAACCAATTTGACCTGAAATGAAAGTCATCAAACAGTAATATTACATGTATTACTTTGAAGAAAATCCTAATAATGACAAGAGTATGTTGAAGTACCTTTCCATAAGACAAGGTGCACATGCGGATGAATTCTATGATCCCATCAGGTACAGTGGTCTTGCTCAGGCGACGGAGGTATTCTATGATATCCTGAGTCTGAAGGCCAACACTCACAGCAGCATACAATGAGTATGGAGTTAACTTGTACTCATGAATGTGCTCTGGTCGACACACTGGTTCAGCAATGGCAATGAGGAAGTCATGTGCATGCTTGTACACAGGACTGAAGGCCTCCAGGAATACATGCCCATTGGGAGCCTGGAAGATGAAAAAAAAAAAAAAACTCCTCCTTAAAAAGAATCTGCAGGAGTGTTACAAATCCCAAGAAACAGGTAATAACATGAACTTACAACCCAAAGAGGTCTTGATGAATGATCAGGTTTCAATGTGACCAAGGATCTATAGTCCTTGGCACCATATTCATCTTCCTGAACTGCCTCTCCTGCTTGCTCCACATCCTTTTTTGCAGCTTCTGGAACCTCACCAGCTAATGATGCAAAACAACAGTTTGACTATTCAAACAAATATGGATCTCAAGTATCAATTGCTCAAAAAACCACATATTCATTTTTGAAGTGTCAAGATATGATTAATACATTATTTATAGAAAAATTAAAGGAAAGCTTCACTTGCCAGCACAACTTTAGTTGAAATCCTTTTTCAAGATATTTAACTTTTAAGTATGCCTCTTCTGGAGGCAGGGAAAATTATTACTTTTTCCAACACCAGCTCCTCCAAACTAAAGGTGTGCAATTACATCTGTGTGAAAGCAATTATTTCACAGTTCAATTTGAATGTTAAAATGTTTATTTTTTTTTTAAACAAACAAAATCATAATGTCTGTGAAACATGGTGAGAATATTATTTTACATTAGCAGATTTCATGTTCTTCAGGATAAATGAAAATACTCACCATCATCTCCTAAATCATCGAAGTCATCTTCTGGAACATACTCTTCTTCTTCTTCAGCTTTCCGTTTTGATTTTTTCTCTGCAGAACAGATTTAGTACCAAAATATGGGTCAGTAAAGAATATCAGATAGGTTGGATTTAGCCATTATTCTAGGTCCTAGATATAGGCCTAGGCTGGCAACCTTTCCAATATATTTGACAGGTGCTTGTACATGTTGAACAAAATGGCACAACTGTCTGGGGAAATACTCATTCTTATACAAAAAGTAATTATTCATACATATGTCATAGTCATACATTCTCCCCTGAAAACTTCAACAATCTAGGCTTAGGCCTATTCCACTTACAGTTGTCCATCAGACACAGTTAACCATACACAGTGCATAGGGTTGCCCAGGTGACTGTACCCCCTAGGGATATTGTTTCTCCTTAAGTTAGGCCAGGTTAGGTTAGGGGGGTGGATGTGGTGATTTCTATTATATATAATAGAAATCCCAAACAATTGAAACTCCAGGTGACTCTAATCGCATTCAGTTGACCGGACGTGTTTGGTTAACTGTAAGCGGAACAGGCCTATATAAAACTTTCCTCTGAATGATTCAAACAAAGTGCATGAAGGTTTGCAATTTAAGGTTTTTTTTTTCAGAATAAGTTAATTGAAAAAGTGTAGAGGCACTAATATGAAGTAGCACAATCTTAGTGCTAGAGCACATCTTAATGACTATATAAATAAACTGGACTTAATCGGTCTGGTGGACACTATGTAAGGTACATTGACTGGGACAGGCAGACTATGGGAATACAGTACTATGGCTACTGTAGTCAGGGGTAAATAATTTATTTTCTCAGCTCTTATTTCACCTGCAGTTTATACATGCACGAGCTGCACCACATTGAACCTCTGCGACAAGTGAGATCCCGTCTGAACAGTTTAACATGTAATCCAATTGAGTGACACCTCTTGTCTTGATGAAGTCCTAGTTCAATAAGTGACCAACAGTACAGTACTGTTGTTTTTCCTCAGGCATGAACCTTAAAGAACAGTTCATCTATATGAACATGCTCCCATGGACCATGAATCAATAGAAGTCATCTATTCTCATCCAAATTAGCAAATAAATTTTCAGTTTGGCCAAGGAACTGCCTTGCCATCCGTCCTCAAATGTCGTCAAACTTTGCCTCCTCTGATTCACCCCCTTCCAGGGGCACTGCAACACTCACCATCAATCCATCCATAATAGGGGGGAATTCCATGGTGTTCACATTTGTAAATGCTACTAGTGTATAAGCTAGCTCAGTGTCCACGTAACTGATTTGGTGCAAAGCAGGTGTCCATCATTAATTGATTAAGCCCAATAAACCAATAGAATTTCCTGAAAATTATCCTAATGGGCTCAGTCAGGGTTCATGGATCAATGTGCCACTGAAAACTCAGCAATAGCCAGAAAAAAATATTAAACTGCATTTGCCAGCTCCTCCTCCTAGTGAATGCCCAATAGATACCTGGTAATGAAGTGTCAGCTGAATGTCATGTCTCTTATCACAATGTAATTGTCAATTAAATCTTCAAATACTTTTACCTACTTCTATTGTTCACTCTTTCCTAGACCCCCATGCCAAAGATTTACATGACTCCCTTAAAAAGAATTAATCCAGGTCATTTTTATGGAATGGTGGTGACCAACATTCATTCAGCTTTCAAAAAATAAAGATTCATGGCATAACTTTCAAGCAGTAAGATCCAAAATGTGCAAGTGATGAAATGGATATCACCATCTTGCAGGGTACTGGTAAGGGCCCTTTTCAAGTGCTACCCCTGTTTCTCTATGTATAACTACATAGGAATGACAGGATGTATCTTAAATCTTTTGACAGCAGTGGAAAGCAAGATAAATATTATATATAGAGATATTACTATAATAATTTCAAACTCTTGAGAAACTACATTGTGAAGCATTAAAGATAACCTAATAATTTTTTTGGTCCACCCTGTACTATGAATTTGGGGAAGGGGTTCTAAATGTTATAATGCACTATTTTCTGCACCTAATATGAGATCAAGTACTTCATCTTTCCAATGGGAAACTTAAATCATAGAAGCTGTTAACCCTACAGTACATGATGTACCAAAAACATTTTTGACGATCATATTTTTTTCATGTAGATGAGAAAAATATGGAACAAATTATTTAGTTTTTGTGTTTCCATGGTATTTTTATGCGTTTCAATGCAAAGCAGAGTGTGCCAGATATGGCACACCATGCAGTGTAGGGTTAAACTGATGCTTCACAATGCCCACCAAGGTTAGACCTGAGTTAACTGGCTTAATGGTAGAAAGCAAATACACCATGGTCTGTTCTAAACATAGGCCTACTAATATTAATCAACATTGATCTGCATGAAAGGACTAATATATATACTGCACTGGACCCAGTTTTATCTGAGGCAATGTAACTACAACTCTACGAGTGAGAGCTTCTTGCTCAAAAGTTGGAGAATTGAACAAAACAATAGGGGACGAGGGAGGGGATAGGGCTCACAAGACTATGGTTTCTGAGTCTAGAGCCTACCCTTGCTTACTTTCTTATAAGCCAACAGTCTTTTGAGCAGGTAAGAAGTACAACGGTTTGATGTTACATGAACAAGGGCCCAATTGGAGCAGGGCCAAAAATTAGGTGAAAACTGGATTCAGGGCAGCTCTGGATGGTGTCTGAGTCCAAACAAAGATGAAAACTTCCAACCTGAATATGAAATGAGAATTACTGAAAGAAAAATGTTTCCTGGTCAAATGTAACACTCTTGGTAGGGATTAAGACAAGAGTGAGTTGCAATCCAGGCTATGAGTCTGGCACATGTGAAATTTAACCCAGTTGTAGCATTTGGAATAGAAGCCAACCACCTGGGCCCATAAATGTGCAAATGACCACTTCAGATGGTGAAAGTCTAAGTTAGGTCTCAAAGTAAATTGCATGCATTAGAGAATCCATGGTGTTGGATGTCAAGGGTAACTTACAGTTTAATTCAGAATGCAGTCATCAAGGTGTTCTAACAAGTTAGGCCTCGGACAATTGCAGGCCATTTCTCACCTTTGTCAGCTCGCTTCTTCTTTCCTCCAGCCATCTTTTTTTTCTCAGGCATGTTTCCTGGAAGGCGCTCCGCCTAACTTTACGTAGGCCTATCAGGAGGTTATTTGTACACCGCTAGAAGCTTCTGCAGCACACGAAAACCCCTATTTAAGCCAGAGGAGAATACAATTTCTTCTCAGGAAGAACCTTGACTATGGCAAAGGCCCAGGGACTTGCCCCTTGCCATTCACCACGCAGCGGAAACACTGCAACACACTGCCACTTCCTCCTACGACGCCATTCCATCTACGGATGCCAATACACCACGGTTGCTTTTGGCTTCTGAGTCGACCGAGAGAATGACGTCATCGCCAGTTCCACAAGCCACTTAGCGTTAATTTTTTGTTGTCAAATGAGTGTGAGAGTGAAATGGGAAATTGCCTTGAGAGGTTCTTAATATTCCTTGCATGATACCGATCGGGAAGAAATAATTATGTACGTGGGGGGGGGGGGGGGGGGGGGGGGCCAACTGGATGGCACGTGTCGTCTCCTTGCGCAAAATGACGAAGGGGGGGGGGGGGGAGAAAGAGCCTTTAGGGCATGCAGCCCAACTTGCATGTGCGGCGCACGCAACGGTGACATCCTCAAGCGAGGCTCTGTGTCGAAACGCGAAACAGAAATGGAGCCGTAGAGATACGGAACGTGTAGCATGCCGTCACGGTTTTCGATCGCTGCAGTCTTGCAGGAACCGTGAATAGGTTGCTTCGTGACTGCTTAGCCTCTTCGGGGATGAATTTTTCGACACTTGATAATTATTTTATGCATTGTCCCTTCATAAAAAAATATACAAAGAAAACATTCTAGAATTTCATAGCGAAATAAAAGCCCCCAAAAAACGCAAATGTGGCCACAAACGTGCGTTTTTGACCGATCTAAAATGCATCGAATGAAACGTCCACATTTGTGTCAGCATCCCCAAAGCGAGTAGGACTCAAAACTTAAAAGATAAAACGAATGAAAACTCCTCATGCCCCGAAGCATTCCAGCCGGCTACCGCACGCGCTGCCATCTAGCGACGCCCCACGCAACCTCGCGCATGGGAGGGGAGAGACGGTTTATTTCAGCGACCGATTTAATAGGATTTCATGCATGGATTTATTTGAGATTCTCAAGAATGACTTTCTGGAGCCGATCCAAACCGGTTCAACCAAACCCGGTAAATCGACTCACTTTCGGAAGATTCTTTCGTCGCTGATCGAGATCGGCGGAACGAGAGCGTGGGAAATTCGAACTGGCGATTCGCCTCTCTGATTCTTCTTTCAGATCTCAAATCGATCCTTTACGATGACTCCGCTGTGATCATTTCAGGGCCTATTTCATGAGGCAATGATGAATGATCGTTTAAACTAAACACGACTTTGAGAGCATGTCGAATTCCGTGTAACGATGCAGTAGAGCTCTCCATCATTCAAATAAATTAAATAAAAAAGTTAAATAGAATATCATGAAAAATAACGGTTTGGTGGGGATGCATAATACAGCAGTCCCCATGGAAATGTGAGAAACGCACCACGGTCGCGATCCTCGCGCGAAGGACCGAAGACGACTGAAGCGTAGGATGCCCGCTCGTCCGCCTCCACGGCCCGAGCGTGGGCATCTTCGCCTTCGGACACGAAGGAAGCGTTCTCGAGAGGAGATTTCCAGAGAGAGGGGAACATTTTTTTTGGAACCGGAGAAAACCCGATGGAACACGGTTCATCCTCGGCACCGCGCTTCAAACACTTTCATCGCGATGGGCGAGGGGGCCGAGTCAGAGACGCGGTAAACAACCCTCGACCGGACACGACGGTCGAAGATCTCGCGCCGATTCGAAGGGCTGGCGGCCGTTAGCCTATGGCGTCAACGAGACGACGAGGCATGGCGTTCACCGAGGCGCACGGGAGTCGTGGCCGATGCATTCGGATGCAACCAGAGGCCGCCGACTGGGTCGGTTATCACGTGTTACGTTCACGAATCGGGCTCGATAGCTATCGACCCTCAAGCGGGGTCGAACCTTGGGATGCTTTTTTTTTTGCCCCATGTAGATCCTGGGCCTGCCTGCATGGGAAACTGATATTGCACCCTCGCATTAAGTGCAATTAAAATAAAGACGATCTCTACTCTTCAAAGACGGAAAAGTTAGCATTAACCATTTTTTAAAATACCATTCTTCGTCACTGAAAACCTGGTAGGCCTAGGCCCGCCTGGTCTTGGTTGAGCGCGTCAAAATTCCTTTAGTGGAGTGTGACGTCACGAATAGGAAAGCTATGCGTTTATTGGGCAACTTGACGCCATGAGCGATGGCGGCCGACCCTTCTGATCCAAGGTATATAGATGCGAAGCATCTATATACCTTGAGAGCTAGAGCGTCTTCGATTTACCTTGTTCTGATCGGCGTGCGGCTGCGGGACGTTCTCTATTGGCCTGTCCAGTCCAGATATATTTATCATGTCTCTGGGCTGAGTCGTGGTCACTTGAGAAGGCCTATGTGGTCTTTGCGGTTAGGGAGAGAGTATATACTCGCATACAGTGGCGTAGAATGTTCAGGCGGTGCGACTGCATTGGGGCCATGGGCCAGAAGGGCCCAGACGCCGAGCTACGATGAGAGGGAGGAAGGCAGGAGAGGGGGGGGAAGGGTGACTGGGGGGGTGAAGAGTTCGCAGTTTATTATTTAGAAAGCACATAAATTAACGTTTATTAGAGGAAATGGATATTCGGGGTTTTTACCGCAGACGAGAAATGAATAAGGCGATAGGACAGCGAGTGGTGGTAGATAGGGGGGGGGGGGGGGGGGGGNAATCTCCTCCCATTCCGATATGTTTTTCCTCTCCCCTTTTCCTCGATGTGAATCTCAGGCAAAACTCGGTGTCACCACCCGAGCAGAACCCGACAACCACCGAGAAAGGACACGAGCGGCTAAATCCCACAAAATTTGGCGCTCTTGGATTCCAAAGGAAAAGCCACCAGATTCCCTTCACTTTCTTGAACCTTTTCAGCACACCTTCCACACTGCCTTCAGCTACCGACGACGATGTATATGCTGCCAGAGAAAACTAGCTAATAAATGTGACTCCCACATAATTGAATAGTAAGAAATAGGACAACGGGCCCCGTTTCGTTCCTTGCACCAGGTTCCATGCCGACCACGCTACGCCACTGCTCGCGTAGGTGTCGCTTCGTGTGATGGCCGACCGGATGAAGGCTGAGTGCATGGAGATGTCTCTGGAGAGGCCTTCGCTGCCGAGAGAGCACATAGCTCCGTGCACGAGAGTGCATCCGCCATCTTGGGACCGTAGTTGCCCGAGGGTGTGGATAGCACGTCATCTTGAGTGCCGGCGTGAGGGGCCCCAGGCCCCCATGCCTGGGGCAAATTCCCTCGACCTCCCCTTCTCTATGGGCCTGCTATCAACTCCTTCGTGCGACTCCAGTCCTAAGATGGCGGGGGAGCCTCGAGGGTGCCTGGAGAGACTCGCTGCCCCGCTCGGTAAAGGTGGCCTCTCCATTGTATGCTCTCTATGGGTAAAGACTGGTTCCGGTACCAGAGCCGTACTGAGAGGGGTGTGAGCCATGTGCCCGCACAGGACGCCGATTGGCTGCCGAATCATTGTAATATATGAATAAGAACTTTTTTAAAGTTAATTATCCTGAATTTAACTAAATTAAGCACATGAATTAATACCTAATGTACTGTTGGTGTTAGTGCTGGGGGAGCTAGAGAGGTATAGAAGGGAGAGGGATATCTCGCACAAGGCACCAAATATCCTCGGTATGGCACTGGGTCATACTAGGGGGCGTCCTGGTTTTTGCTTCGCAACATCCGATGAGCAGTGGCGGCTCGTCATATTTAGCGCAAGTGGTTCGTCTATGGAGAGGGGGTAGACAGGTGGAAGGTGTGCTGAAAAGGTTCAAGAAAGTGAAGGGAATCTGGTGGCTTTTCCTTTGGAATCCAAGAGCGCCAAATTTTGTGGGATTTAGCCGCTCGTGTCCTTTCTCGGTGGTTGTCGGGTTCTGCTCGGGTGGTGACACCGAGTTTTGCCTGAGATTCACATCGAGGAAAAGGGGAGAGGAAAAACATATCGGAATGGGAGGAGATTGCGTGTGTCTCCCGATTCATTACCAATTAACCTACCACGCCCTTTCAATTCTGTTCTTGTGCATCAACAATTCATGTTTCCCTCGCCCGATCGATAGGGAAAGGGAATGAATAAAGAAGTGCCTGCTGGCGTTCACGGGGAGACGGGAAGAACTCGAAACCGCATAAATTACGGTTGCCAAACAGTAGGACTCAAAACTTTTCAAAACTGAACTGATGACAACTAGGCTAAAATGATCCTCATCCGCAAGCCCCAACGAGGCACTCGAACCGTCTATCGCACCCGCCACCATCTAGCGACGCCCCGCACAACTTCGTGCGGGGGAGGAAAGAGACGGTGAAACGGTGTGCATTCGGCCATCTGCGGGCGGAAGCGCTCAGTCCCGATCGTTAGTTCCATAGGCTCAATTTTAACATAACACGTTTTATCCGGCCAACTGTCTGACGCAGCCGAGGATTTCCAGACCCTCTTTGCTGGCCAATCTTTAATCAGGCCACAACACAGGAAGGAAAGAAGATCGCCGGTTGATTATCCTTCCAGTTTCTTCGCAGACTTGCAGTCTCCCTGCTTTCCTCCCTCTCGCCTCACTAATCCCTGAAATGACCCGTTGCGTCGTCGTCAAGGTCACACATTGAACCTGCCGCTAGTTCTTCCGCGTGTCTTACTCCCTTTCTCAAAGGCCATCGAGTACCACGGAGAAGCTTAAGTGCTTCTCGGGTCAGCTGAAGCGATCACGAAGCTCGCGTCTCTACAGGCGCCAAACAAACATTAAAGACTTCCCGACAATGCAATAATGGCATTCCATTTTCCATCGTATGATTAAAGTCAGACAAAATCAGAAGTGCGTTAGCTTTGAAGGATACAGTGGATTTCATTTGGGGGGGGGGGAAACTGACTGGTAAGCACCTGGTCAGTTTGGCTGGAGAAAAAAACAGGGGAAAAAATCCCTCTTTATAGCAGCCACCTGTCAGAACCGGCGAAATTTAGAAAGTATTTAGGCAAGTATTACACAGATTTCACTAGACTTTTTCTCACCACGTCTAACGATTTTTTCCTGGTTTTTCTCTGCATCTCTCGTTGCCACAAGGTGACCCCTTTAATTTTTAAACCCTTAAATGCTTGGTTTTCATTTTTCGATGAAAATGGGTCTCACTTAGGTCCTAGAACACGGAA